ACATAGATGTTCAAGTTCTTTGGATACTTTGACACACGGATGTAATCAGATAGATTAATCTGAGCAGTTTATTGCTTGTCCATTCAACAGGAAACCAGGATGTGGACTGAGGGAATACTGGGACGTCCCATCTCACCAAGGTCAAACACCACTATATTTCGGTTAGGTCAGTGACCACCACATATCTATCTATCTATTTACCGAATCGAAAGCTCTTTGATAATCAATAAAAACGCAATATAACTTTGACTTTTTAGATAAAACTTTTTGAATTACAGCATGTAATAGAAATATAGCATCAGCTGTAGAGCGACCATCACGAAAACCAAACTGCGTATTATTAAAAATATTCTCGGTCTCGCACCATTTATTAATACGATTTCTCAATATTTTACCAATAACATTTACCAGTGTGATTCCACGATAATTTGAGGGATTATCTCTATCCCCCTTTTTATATATAGGGACAATCACACTCTTGATCCAGGCTTCGGGATAAACACAATTATGAAATATATGATTAAAGATTGTACATGAATATGGAGAAATGAAATTCTTCGCGTCTATAAAAAAGTCGGCAAAGTTATTATCAAAATCGCCGCTTTTATAGCGGTTTAACAATGAAATAGTTTTTTTGATTTCATTACATGTTATAGGACGATCTAACAATTCTACACTATGAACATTTTCACGCTCACAATCATACGCTCCTGGGTCAAACTGACCTTGGGGTTCATTTGAAATAGTTGAGAAATAATTAAAAAAAACATTTAAGTTTATATATTATTGTTGTTCGAATTTGAGCATTTGAAATTTTTTATATACTTCCAAAATTTTTCTAGGGGACGATTTACTCATTTGGGACAATTTATTTTTTTCTGTATAATGAAATTTTACATTTTTGCTTTCCGTTTACAATTCATATATAAATTCTTCTGTTTTGCAAAAAGGTTAATTTGTTTGCATCAGACATGTTAAGTAAAAATGAGCGTTTTCGAAGCTAAAAAATTAGCTTTAGTTCTTCTACAATCCTCATTAAACCATGGTGATTTTACGTTTGCGGTGACTTCGAACTTGCTCGAAAAGTTTTGCCGAAACATTGAGCTGAGATATCAATGAATAAGCTCAGAAAAGTTGATTATACATTGGTTAATATCATAGTCACCAGATAAAAGTTTCTCATTTATATCATCAAACAGGATATTTTTGCTTTGTAAAACATTATGAAAATAGTCGGTCTTTGAAATATCCCATATAATTTTATCACATGCAGGAGAAGTAATTTCTGTGCCTTCAAAAAAACAATTAATGGGAAACTTAATAAGACAATGATCCGAAAAATCGTTCAAGTCTAAAATTTTCAGTTCATTGGTTGTGTTATAACTATCGCAGCCAGTAATCAGATAATCGACCATACTAGATACAGGTCTATTTCTATACAATGCATGATAAGTACAAAAACCCTCTTCCAATCTACCATTCAATACACATAAATCATTTTCTTTACTTGTTTGTCCATTTTATAGGGAATTAAGGAAAGAACATTTACCAAAATATTATTGCTCTTGGCCTACCTTAAATAAATTTATATCTTTAATGAAAAATTCTAAGCATGGAACTGTTAATTAATAGATTATCAAAATATATCTACTTTGCAAATGCATTACGTGATAGAACGAATGATTGATTGTTTTCAAATACTGATATTGGTATATATAGCATACTATTATTTACAAATATATATTGAAATACATTGCATATGTGTTCTTTACAATATAAGAATGTTAATGTAAAAAATATTTGTATTCAGTTACATACTTTTCTCATATACTATTTGTAACCGTCATTCTGTTTATGGCGACGGACATTGTAAAATGTTTATGCCTTTTGAAATAAAATCTTGAAATCTTGAATCATAAATCATTATCTTTGCAAATAGTTAATAGTTTTGCTCCAAATGGATTAACTTGTTTATCACAATTTCTTCGCACAGGTAACATAGACGCGAAATTAATAATAATTATGCAGAAATTTATTTACAAAAGATAAAATGCCATATACATCGATATCAACAAAATTTAAAAACAGTTTAAGAAAGAATTTGCATGACAGTTGAATGGATATTACCTTTGTTCGTTTGCGGGTTGATTTCAATTTTTTAGTTATTTAGTTTAATAATATTTTATTATATTATATCAACGTCAGTATATTCTTAGCAAAATTATAATGTACATACAAATTAAAATGGTTGTGCCAAAAGTAAAACCAACATTATCCGGGGCCACTGAATTCAGAAGCATCTCCTATTAATTTGTTTCAGTTTCAACAATATGATTGCATCTGCTATGTCAAGATGCGACACATTAAGTGACAATATATAAGTCTGTAAACTCAATGTCACGTTTTCAAGCAACCGCCCGGTTAGCTCAATAGGTTGAGCGTTGGACTGTGAATCGGGCACCTGTGTTTGATTCCCGGACGGCGCAGGTCACTTTCGTTGTGATTGATCATGAAATCCTTTCTGCGGTCATTCACACTGTACCTTTGCTCTGGCATGTACGAGTGAGAATACTGTTTTTAAAGTTCACGAGATGAAATAAAATTACATCTTTAAGTACACAAACAAACCAATTTTCTTTTTATTTTATGCTTAAAAAGAGTTAAAACGGAATTTCCTTGATATTATCTTTAATATTAAAATCTGTTTTCCCCACTGGTAAGTAATCAGTTCTTGCGAACGTGAAGGCAACTGGTACGGGTAAACTGCATGACAGCCTTTCAAGGGAGATGCGGTGGCTGAACTGTGCTCTGGTAAATTCAATGTGGCTTACTCTCGTGATCCGGAGCGAAAACTACCTACACCATCACGTCACAGTTTAAGACTAACATAACTACATTGTATTTTTTATATATTTATTACATAAATACACAATATAATTGAAATAATATAAATAAGCTTTTTATAAAAGAGAGTTTTATCATGAGTATTTTAGTTAACGCCCATTCTCAATAAAATAAAGCATTTGAGGTTGAAAAATATTAAAAATTTGATGTTGTCATTGTGTCAATTTTTATCGCTGAAGTAAAGGTTTAGGGTATTTTGCAAGTTTGCCAGAAATATTTTGAACAAGAAACTATGATATAACAGGATGGCATTTATTTTGGTAATGACACTGTATTTCTTCGGTAACGTAGATTTCAGATCTAATAATGTAACATATTGGGTGCATATTAACAACAAATGTCTTTAAAATATATCAAAATCTGTAAATTCTCTATCTAGAGGGACTTTCTAACCCAGGAAAATTCAAGGAAGTTGGGTACCTTGCTAATTTTCAGTTAATTTCTTCAAAGTTAAATATTCGTAGAAAGCAAAAATAGTCAATTTTGGAATTGATTATTTTATGTCTTCATTCAAAGGATATATATCATATATAATATATGAGAGGTCGAATGCACACACAAATGTTGTATTAGCAATTTTGTTTCAAAACATTCAACTTTTCACTTTCTTAATATTTGGAAAATTTATTGCTAAGCAGTTCTATATTTATTCCCATATAGGATGTCACGTATGTTTCATTTTATTTAAATGCAAGTAAAGGTTGAGAAAACAATTTATTTTTTTTGTAAAATAATGTATATTTATGGATATTATTTTAACATTATTATATATAGAATGAAATACGGTCAGTAAGCTCTTTGCAGAAACGAATTAGTTGTTGCTGAGAACATCAATATCTTGTAAAATATTTTTAACATTTCTGCTGGTACATCAACATATTATTAACATATCTTTCCTTTGTAAAAATAATTTTGTATCTTCTTACATCTAATACAAGGTAACCGTTACTAACAGGCATGATAATCCCAACTTTATCTTTAATTTTCAAAAATTGTTGAATTGTAAGTTGGAGTAACGTATGTTTCACACTCGCTTATTTATGAACTTAATCACGGAATTGAAACTTACATGTAAAATCGACTTTTTTATTTAGGAATCAAATGTACATCATTTTATTGTCATAAAAATGCGATTTTATTGTTTTTATATATGCATGTGTAAACAATATAAAGTCTGTTTGATAAAAGTAACGTTTGTTTCACTGTGGTTACTTAAACAAGTTAAAACTCGACCAAAGTTATCAAACATTTACTTACTAATGTCAAATAGAAGTTAATGATGTTGTTATACGTGCTTTCCGACTTCAATTTCCCTTTTGATAAACTTACTTTAAAAAGTTGATAACGTATGTTTCTGTAACGTATGTTTCATTTTTTACATTGAAAGTGGGTTAAAAAATGACGCAAGACTGTTTAACCCGCCATAATTTGTGGTTAATATATCAGAGTTATACACATGTTAATTTTCTTTCTTGTTTGGATTCTTCTTTGAATGGATTGGCTCTTAAATAATGGTAACGTATGTTTCTTTTAAAATGCTGTTGAAAAGATTTGAATAAAAAATGAAAATTTCCAAAAATATAATGATTTTTGAGAGGCTGCAAGCTTATTTTTACTTATAATTATATATATGCTGTATTATTAAGCATGCATCGATTCAATTATGTAATTTCGGTTCCACTTATTATTGTTTTAGGTTTGTCACTATTTATTTATATGCATTTGGCGACATTTGATCATCCATTATATCAATGAGATTTTAACAGTCAAATGTAATTTTTACCAATAATCATAGTTCATATACACACAGCAATGACTAATTGCACATGTTTCTTTTATTCTGGAACTTATTTTTCTGAGACACAATTTCAAAGTTGAAAATTCTAGGTGGCGACAGTAACGTATGTTACATTTTAGGGCATTAATGGTACTTGTAAAAGAAAAATAACAGATAGAAATGTAAAACTGAGAGTGTCCCTATTAGACAAAGTGGCAGCCACCTTTCTAACGACATTTTGACCTCAAGAAAAACCTTCGTATATGAGCTACCCAGTGGAACATCAAATGCTGTGTCTTATTGAGAATGAGCGTAAATGTTATTGCACATTATATAAATTTCAACAAATATTCATATATGAAATATTTATTTTAAATTTTAAACTGTATAAATAATGCATTACCAATAGCTATTGCCAATATGAATTCATTCTATTTGATTTATTCACCTCTTAATCAGTTGGCTATCATATCATAATTATTCATAATAAAATATTACGTCATTTGATCATTTTATCTTTACTAAATTCTGTATTTTGCCGTTTTATCCGTTAATATATATGGGACGTGTAGCATTTATATTAGCCAGTTGGTCACTCGTACAGTTCATGATGATTTCTTTCTCTCCGGCTTTGACAGGAGTAAACCCCACAATGATTTTCACCGCTTGACCTTGATTAATTCCCCTGAAAATACATGTATATAATTATGAAAAGGATTATGTACATATGTGTACATGTATTGCCATGCAGAATCATTAAAATCTACCATTTTGATAAATGGTTTTACAAAGTAATAGAATAATATCCAAATAAACCAAACAAGCAACAACCAACTTATTTATAATATAAGGATATGCTAAGTGCATAAAAAAAATCGACCTTTCTGTTCTTATATGAAAATGATGATAATGTCAAATTTGATATTGGAGTATAAGGCAAAGAAAGCTTCAGTGATTTGACTATTCAATTAATACAATTTGTAAAATGTTTATTTCAATTTGACGTTACCGCGTTGTTCCCTTTTATATGATGCACATTTTATTTGAAGCCAGACCGCGAGAGGGCGTAACGAAACGTAACAAATCACTGGTAGATCTATAACATACTTCTGGGTAAGACATCGTAAGTTCCGAATTATTTTGAAATTGCAATTTTTCACATGTCTACTTTAATCAGTAGTATAATTATTTATTTTTTTTAATAAAATAGTTTGAAAAGAAATCAAACGCAGCAATATATAGAAACTGATGCTTACTGCAGCTTGTATGTGATAGGGAGCTGTCTTCCGGGACCTTCAGCTCGCAGGTAACAGTTTGTTAGTGGTACAGGTAATGGGTTTGTGAATGTTGTCTCAGCTTTGAATGGCTGTCCAATATATCCAGTATCTGGTGCCTGTAGTTATGATTAAATAAAATTGTGTTACTGGTAAATATGAAAGTTTTTATGCTAAAAATAGAGCCGCATCAATGATTAAAGTCAAGCAATCTGACAAAACCTATAACTGTACATATTTACCTATACGGTAAGTAAAGTTAATTATAGTCTTATTAGAGTATCAGTGTGAAAAGTGCGGGCGTCTGCCGCTAAATCTAGAAGTATTTTGTTCGAGCCCCTCTCAGGTCATGACTTCGAATTTCTTCATGCTACAAAAGCACTAGTTATAGTCAATAATCGGGACTAAGAAAATGATTTATATAGCAAGCAGAAACTTCTTTATATTAGATCATAAATGTGAATATTCTCGGATATCTATGCATTTGTTCAATGCGTCATATGTCCCCTTTTGGAAAATTTTTAAACTTCTTTTTTCTCTACGTACTGCATTAGTTTATAACATCTGGATTCGTTTGTGTAAATTAATTTTTAACAAACAAATCGTGAAATTAAGAAAAAACGCTTTTTTAGAAAGAAGTTTAATACAGACAGTACCTCTATAGTAAGATGAGGTTTTCGAAGTCGAACTTCCACAGTGTCGGCAAATGTTTGCTCGGTTTCTTCAATCATACATGAACACGTGACACTGAGGAAAAAATGGTCTGTTAATTTGTCCAGATAACGGTTTACTGGCACGTCTATTCTGAACATCTTCTCTAGTGAACAAACAAGATATAGATTTTGGTAACAACATGATACAAATCATTAACATATTTGTATTAACAAGAAGCATTAACCATGGGTTTGTTATAGTCGTTTTACCCTGTTTTCAATGATAACGCATTAACGTTTCAGTAATTTCAAAGGTACTTATTTGTATTATCATAAATCATTAACCGTTTGTGTTACCATATATCATCATCGTCTAGTGTTATGATAAATAATAAGGCATAGTGTATTATCATTAACCGTTACCATCTATAAAATCATAAACCATTTGCATTATCAAAAACCATAAACCTTTTGTGCAATCGTAAACCATAAACCTTTTTTATTATCATAAATCATTAACCGTTTGTACTATAAATCATCTATCATAATTAGGATCATGAAAAACTATTATTGTAATTCAGTAAGCATGTGTATGCATAATTAATATTTCATATTTCAAATTATTAAGATTTGTTTTGATTTTGTTACCAATCTGATTCTTTTACTACAGTGTTTATCATACTAATAATTCATTTAATACAAATATAAGTTTGATGCTGTAATACAATACTTATGGTCCTATCTATTTATCTTAATCGGGCATATTACATAAACGAAAAGGAAGAGACATCAAAAAAGTATACCATCCTTGCCGCTGATTGCAGTTCTTGGGAGTTTTCCCTTTACTACCTCTTTGTACGGTACTCCCGTGTAATAAATTGTCTTCACGTTAATTAGACCGACAACTGTCCTTGTCTTTTTGCTTCTCTGATTCGTTACTTTTAGTGAAACTTGTAATGTTTCCCCAATAAATGTGTTATTGTCAGCACTGACTTCAAATTCAACATCCTACCGAATATTTTTAATTAGCATCGTAATTCTTTATATGGGTATACTTGGGAAATAAAAAAAGAAATGATATCCGCGCATTTACTCTTCAGATTTTGTCAGATAAATGATCTAAAAGATGCTAATAAAAAAAAATTTGCAAAACTAGTGTAGATAAAATGCAGTCGGCAGATTATGCTATGTAATCACTGACGATATTATTCTGTGAATAATTTGCATTCTCCGTGGTCTGTATAGCTACCACTGCGACGTCGAACAATATTATATACATTGTATTGTTGGTAGTTCAAAGATGTTGTATTTGTATATACAAGTAAAAAGTAAAATTCTTTTTTCATTTACATTAATAGCATCATTTCTAAAAGAAAACGATCCTGGAGTGAGAAAATCGTACGAAAAAAAGCGAATCATTGTTGGAAGAACGCTACCTTTTTAGTGTCATCTTCAAAGTCATCATTAGCTCTATAAGACTTGGCCTCTTCAACTGCAATGCGCTCTTCTTCTGTACCTAAAATGTGTTGAATAAGTTGTGCACAAAGTTGTATTAGGTTGTAATAAAGCAGCAAACTAATAGTAAATAAACACTTATTAATTAATTAATTTACGTAGGCCCAAACTAAAATTCTTTAAATTAATCTAACAAACACAAAGACTCCCGAATTTAAGTAATTTTTCTGGACTTAAAAGGAATACGTTTAAATTTGAATTATCAAATTCAAATTAAGATACTGGCCTTTTGCTTTGATATTTTTTTACTGAATATTGTTTTAATTCTAAGGTATTGTAGACAAAAAACAAACAAACAGGTATTAATTTTTAGTAACCAATATCTTGTATATAAGTTTGGTAAGACTGCGCCCACGACACTCACAAAGTTTCAGAAGAAAAGCTGTGACAAACCTTCCGGAAATTTATATTGGTCGGTTATATCTTCTCTATCTTTATCTAACCCAGTCATCCAATCAGTTGAAGCTGAATTAGCCAATGGTTTCTTCGTACTGATTAACTTTCCAACACTATATGACAAATATAACATACATATCAAGTTAGTAAAAGGATAAAAACGGTTTAAGGGAAATAAACATGAAATTGTAAAGTTTTTCATCTTTGCAGGATTCAGGTAATAAAATTAAAAGCAAAATGGGGATCATCCAAAGTAAGAAAAAGCAAGAAGTGCTGCACAAGTTAACACCCTGCTTTAGGTGATGTAAAGGCAAAACCAGGTAATTGGAACACTTTGTACACTCTTATGCTGATTTTCATATCGGATTTATCCCGTTCTGGATCTAAAAAGGTTAAGTTCGTTGCTTACCTACCACAATCAAGACATGAGCAACTTACAAGCCAATCGGCCACATTGCAGCATGAAATGAGGCCTATTTTTCAACTTATCTTCGCTGAAAGATGTTTATAACATTGCATCTGTAGCGACATAAAATATTAATCTATACATTATAATCAACATTTTTTGTTTCTTTTAGACTAGATACATACAAACTTTTATCTGTCTTCACAGCTCGAAGCTTGCCTGGTGAATAATTCATCCACAGTATTTTGTCAGCGTTCACTTCGGCAAATGCCATTGGACCGTCATATGGAAGATAAACACGCCCACTTTTGATTGCCTTCAATGACATCGGTCCTAAGCAGTAAATTCCTATAAGTAAATAAATGATAATACAAAAATTGGCATTGTCAAGAATTACCGCATATACATGTACATAACCGGAAACGTATTTGAACGTATTACGTAGCAATGCTAAAATGGAATCTTAGTTATAATATCATTTTAGGTGCTGGAACCAGAGATGATTTATATGTCAATTCTACCGGTCCCGACACATGCAATACATATTTTTGCGTAATTAAGTAAATTTTGTAACGAGGTAGGCAACATTAAAGTGGTAGCAAAATTCATTACATTATGTTGATCCTTTGACAGTACTCGAAATACAAGCGAAGTATCATGTTAGAACTATTTGTTTGAGACCTACCCTTGCTCCGTTCTTGCGGTGTAGAATCTATAGCTTGCCAGCCATCATATCCTGGTGGAAGATCTGGTCGAGTCATCCACACATCATTCCATGAATGAAAATTCCTAAATATATATTGTAAAGTCTGTATGAAAATTCTACATAAGTCACTTTAGTATCATTTTAAATTAACATAAAAGTACAACATGCATGCAGACTCCTTGGACATACTAACATATACATGTATCATGAAAAATTAAGTCAGATGGAATATATCAGAAAAAAAGACAAGTTCATGAAAAGAAAGTCTAAAATTTACATATATCATATAAATAGTATTTATTTTATCTTTAATTATTACTTAGAATATAAAAAATATCGTTCAATGTATGAAAACGCTTAAATGTTTTATAAAAAGAGCATACCAAGACTAGAAACTATTTGTTTAGTTTGAACATTTTTTCCTTTTGTCTTGTAAAACCATTCCAAGCATACATGTATGAAATCTTACATAAAACATACAATAATTCACGATTTTAACATTTATCTTTATTAAAACAAGACATAATTAAAACAATGTCTTACCAAATAGAATCTGTATTAAGCTCTCCAATTTCTTCAAAATTTCTATCAAAATATGTATCTACTGTGATACTACCATCAGTGTCGTGTGCTGAATTGTAATTTGTCACAGATCTTGCTGGTATACCTAGAGCTCTACATACTGAAATAACAAGACCATCACACTTATACTACTTATACATCCGCTAATACTAATACTAGACATTTGTTGATAACTTCTCGAATAAATAAAACATAAGTCTAAAAAATGTTGTCACCCAGCCTGCATATTTAAGTTGCCAATGAAAGAGCAGGTTTGTAAAAATGTTTAAATTTTGAAAGTAAAATGAACTATAAAATGTTTCGAGATTTTTGTACCAATTGATGTAAGTCTTTAGCAATAACAAATATGAAAATTTTCAGATAATTCGCTTCATTCGCCTTTTTTTTAATTAATGTTGAAAATAACATAAAAATGAAAAGCGATTTCAAATCTATTTAAGAATTGCACTAAATATCGATTTTTTTTATTTGAATTTTGAGAAACGTTATATTTATGACAGTTTTTAGCTTTTAACTTTTAGACTTTTGTGGAGCTCCATAAAGGCTTTAACCTAGAAAAGATACTATATGCTTTCTGCCCAGCTCTCCAATTGATTGAAATTTAATGACAAGTCTTCTCCGTTTACAGAAATTTAAGCATATTATTTAATTAAGGCAAAAACTATTTGTTCATTAATTTTCTTTATAATAGAAATCAGATTCATTTGATGTATGATTACACTTGTAAAAAAAGTTACCGGTTGTAACAACTCCAGAAAACGTAAAACATTGACCATACTTCACAGGTTTCTTATATTTGAAATATTCATCTAGAATTGACGCACTTCCGGTCCAACCAAGCGGCGAAATTCCGTCGTCATAGTGACCACTCCAGTTTCCGATAATGATCCCATTTTCGTCATTACTATTCACCTTAATTACACAAAAACAAACTCTAACAAAATTTATAAAATTTCACATGCGACTTTATTAAAACGTTATATACGTCTTTTGCAGTCATTTATTCAGCCACCGTTTAGAACATTATAGAGCACGCAAATGGTACTGTTGGTCTTTTTGCACAACATTAAGTCCCCAATGGTTTTTTATTGGTTGTATCTTGTGTTCCGAAAAAATCCAATTATTAAAGTGGAATGCGCAGGAAAAATCTACTTAATGAAAATATCCACAATTCGGTGTTGAATTTGAGTGTTAAAGCCACATTTCGCGATTTTCTAAATTAAAACATATTCAATACATTTCTCAAGAACATTGGATAATCATCCGCATTATTACTTGTAAAAAAAAACACCCAAAAACTCACCAAACTCGAGATTTTACGAGATACATGGACAGCGTCGCCTCGTTTATTATCGGGCAGGTTTGATAACTCGTCCAGAAGAAACATCACACAGTCAAGGACATTGCCTGTAAACTGGTAGAATTAACAAAACAAACATGAACAAATAAACTGTGTTTTAACGAGCATGGCATGCAATATTCTTTCAATGTCATCGAAAATGTGGAATGCGTAATGATACAGGCGCATTTTAGAAATGACATACGGATTGGTGTTCTTAAAAGTAAGTTAAAACGTCGCCGTGCGGCCATAGTAACAAGACAAGTAAGGTTTACCTCAGTTATATTCAGTTCATATAAAAAATAACAATTTTTGTTATATGAAAAAAACACAAAAAAACAACCAACAAACAAAAAAAAAACGAAAGAAAAAAAACAGTGCCGCATAAAAAATCAGCATTGCTTAGACATAAAAGTAAATCACCTGTCCAAAGTTCCATGGAATAAAAGTTATCTTTTTCGCACTTCCGCCGTAAAGTTTTCCCGTTTCATTCAGAATGTATTTCTTTCAGTAAATCGCCATCCTTCATATATACCTGGTCATCTAAAATAACAATGTTTGAAAGATTTAGTGAAAGAAAATATGTGATTTCGTTGTAGCTGTCCCTAAGCTGTTGTATGATAATCGATGAATAATAATGATGTTCGTGATGATGAATCAGATGAAGGAATGATTTTTTTGTGGGGAAAAATGGGGTGGGGGGCGAAAAAATGGAAAAAAAAAAAAAAAAAAATGTTGGATGGGTATTGGTGGTGATGGGTGGTAATGATGATGATGATGTAGCAGCCTGTATATAACACACACACTTTTACACATAGTGTTAATCGTATATCTGTAAACATTGTTGTAGAAGCTGTCGTTTTAATGGTGGGGACCAAAACATGAAATTAAGAAAAATGTTACATGCTCAAATGCCCACATGCCACTTACCTTCAAACCACCTATGGATTAAAACAATATGGTAGATTGGATATCTGTAAGCCAAAATCTCAACACATTTTGAACTTGAAATTTTCTTCCATGTTGTTGAACGTCTATTTTCACGTGCCATTTACCAACTGGACATGTGGGCGGAGTATCTACGCTGAACGTCACAGACGCGCCATCTATCGACTCAGTAAATGAGAATTCCATTTACTCTCTCCGTAACTTGAATGTGGAGGAAAGTTTGAGCCCACATGGCTTCCTCTAGAGGGAAGTGGACGTTTTCCTAGGAAAATATCAGGCAGAGTTCGATTATCGGGGTAACATACGTAATGATTATTAAGACTGCAATCGTTATGATATGAATAATCGCGTTAATATAGTGCGATTTATTGACCACGTAAGCACACGGAACTTATTACTAGGCACCAATAAAGGCCTATGATGGATTATTTGGATAAGACATGAAAAAAAATTTGTTTAGTCGACACCATGGAGTACATCAAAGGAGATTTCAATATAATTATTTATTATATAATATAGTTATTATGATTGTATGAATTGCAATTTTTTTTTAAATTTCAAATGACCCTAATCGGCTTCCGTACGATTTAGAACTGAACTGAACCTGGTAACGTTAACAACAAAACTGTTTAAAACTACGGATAGTGGATAGTTTAAGGTAGATGGTAGATTATGTGAGTACGACAAGGATTTGCAGTCGAGACAAATACAAAGAATGAGTGGATTAAACCTCAAATGACACAAATAGGCTTCCGTACAATGTTAAAACTGAATCTGGGTAACGTAAGCAACTATTCATTTTTTGAAAATAAAACAATTTAAATTCTATCTCAAAACTATTTTAAGTGTTTTATGACAATATATATTATTGATATCGATGAAGAAGGACTTAATCATAAAAATAAATACTGCAGCCATAAACTATGTATAATTTTTAAAAGATGGACTTAAAGATAAGATTTATGCAAGTTAATATAATCCAGTTCTGAACAGAATGTGTTTAGTAACATTTTCTACAATCTATCCGCCCTTTAAGTATGTATGTAAAGATGTGTATATAATTATGTATTTTAGTCCAATCAACAGATAAGCGTATAGTCTTACCAAATTGAAAAATTATTCGAACATCATCATTTTCAGGGTTAAAATGCCTGTCAAATGTAAACTTCATGTAGAATTTCTGCCCTCGTCTTACGACAAGCACTTGACGACTGTCATACAATTTGGCATTGGTGATGTCAAAGTCTTTGGTGCGGTGTGTCTCTGTGTTATATCTGATATTCATGTCAATCCCGGTCACTTTCAGGCTTCCGTAACCTTAAAATACATTTATAGTGGCTTACTATTTGTACGGAGTTCTGTTACGGCCATCTATAATTTTAAATTCCGTTTTAATGTACGTATAATTTCTAGCTGAAAACGAGTTTACTTCAGTCACGTGTCATAAATAAGCTTTCAACATATCTGAACTTTAGCTCTATATATATTGAATTCTTATCTTCAATTGTATCAAATAATGAAATATTAAATGAAGCAAATATTTTCACCTTTTTGTTTTAGATTTGCATATTTGTTATTTAGTTTTGGTATAACATGTTTATGATAGTGGATACCAGTTTCCGTTGCTTAATTATAACATGGACTTGATACGGTCAAATAAAAGTTTAATGTTTATGTTTAAGGTTCTCCATCCATCAATTACAATGTTCGTGTCATCTCCTCGCGCTCTGTATCAAACAGTCATTGAGGACAAGATAATTATGCCGTTGCTTTATGTCTTACTTCTGTTCTTATAAAGGTACGGTAAAATGAGCAATGAGGCAAAACTAAATTACGTCATAATAGTTTGTGTTTTCAAATTCAAAGACGCCCCACATGCACCATGAAATATAATAGGTTTGGTGTATATTTAGTAAGGTTAATCCAGTAATTTATTAAACTCGTATTGCACCCTGCTGCAAGTTCACATATTTATAATATTCGTCACGGTACGTTTGCAAATAGATTAGCTATAGGTATCTAATCTTAAAGAAATTGAAATTAAACAAGTTTAATAAGGCGTAACTTTGAGTTCAGTAAGGTAGCGGTTCAACTCAGACGTTAAAAGGTCGTTGCATAATTTTTTTTTCAAACTACTAGTATGCCTGTATATATTTTATATATTTATTCATTTAAGGTAATCCCACTGTCGCTGAAACAATGTTTTTTTTTTTATTAAAAAACATATATAACAAAAAAATGAGCACAGTCATGCACCTGAGTTTAATAATATATCATAGGTTAATGGAAAAAAATGTTGAAAGTAAAAGAAAACGAGCATACATAAATGAATTCGTTTTAATTCCTTTAAAAGTATACAATGACAGTACCTTCACCATAGGTCGACGATGAGGAAGAATTGTAATTCACATAGCGGTTCGAGCCCCAAAGATAAGTCTCATAGTCCGACATAAGGTTGTTTCCTGTACGCTCGTGCCGAGTGTATGTCCTCCGCCTACCCTCCATTCTATCGCCGTAGCGTGGTGGTCCTGCAAAACAAAACCCTATGATAATAGTAAGGTCCATGAAAAATAACGCATTTTTGCAGTATTCGTTTTCAACTACTTACCAATCCTCAAAATAAAATTGAGAAAAAACTTCACTTGAAAAGTGCGAAGTTTCGTGGTGGCAAAATGCACACGTGAACCCTGTCCTATTTATATCTCACGGAAATTTAATTTCGTCTTACAAACCACGTACTAATTATTTTAATGACACATTCCAATTTAATGCCATGGTTATTTGGAATTCCATACCACTGACTATAAGAAGAAAAACAAAATTGTCAATATTTAAGAAATGTTTCAAGAAATACTTATTTAATCAACTTTAGCACGGTCCGTATGTCTTATATATACAGGATACGCTCTTTATATTCATACATGTGTTTTTTATTATTATGTTTTCTAATAATGGGTGTCTGTCTTAGTTTCAAGTTTTTTGACTGTGTTAATTTTGTAAGTTAATTTTACTTTTTAAATTGCAGATTAAAATGATGCACTGATGAAAGTATTATGTTTAATGATAAATAAAATAAATTGTATGAATGTTCAGTATATGTGTTAATATATGTTAAAATTGTGATAACCATTTCATCATTTCTTTTTACATGTTATATTTTCTTTGATTGATATGTGTTCTTTTGTGTGTGTGTTTTTTATTTTTATTTTAGAAGGCCGCATTGTAAATAAGATGTTGCAATCTGTATATGTCTTAATGTGTTACCTTTGGTAAATAAAGTTATTATTATTATTATTATTATTATTATTATTATTATTTGTTGTGTACTTTAAAAAAAGGCAAATTTATTGGGAAACATTCTTTGTCTTATAATCTTTTGCAAGGTTTTGAAATAATACGCCCATGTAGCGAAGATCTGTATCCAAGATTTTGGATTTCTTTGAAGATCATAGATCTATAGTAAGTAAAAATTTTAATATGTGTAGCTCGAAAAAACGTTAGAAAGGGTGTCATTTACATAAAACACCATTGCAGCATATAAACTGTTTTAAAATTGTTTCAAACAAACAGAAAATCCCATTGTTACCAAAAAAACCTGACGGATACAGAATTCACGGCTAAAAACTATATCAACGGGGTTTCTCGACTTGCCCGACACACAAAATATTTTTAGGCCTCAATATAGAATTTATAATGTAAATTTCTAAAATAAATTGTTTCAATTTTCAATTGATAACATTTAGTAGTCAATATTAAATCATGTGTTTCGCAAGAAAAAAAAACACAATAAGTTAAAGATGTGGGCGTATTATTACGAACCTAGTTAAAATGAACCCCAATCTCTATTTATGAGAGTCAATAGTGCATTATATACATATAATTAAACATGTCAATGTTTCTCTTTACTCTCGCAATACAGAAGTTGAAATTTCTTATTAAATATCATGTTAACTAAAAATCTAAAAAAAAAAACAATTGAAAAGTATTTACCTTAACTTTAAAAGACGATGTTTTATCCGGTGATTTTATTTACCACTTCTTTTAAGTTACAACAACTTGCCAGTTACAAATTTCCTTTTCACCTTAAATACTTTATTAGTTTATTGAAGCGATATACGAGATAGACATATCGCTGTATATCATACTGCAATTTCTCTTTTATGTTTTTTTTTCAAACTCCATCAACCGGTTTTGGGTAAAGCGGGGGGATGTGTTCAATAAACATGATTTTTAATACTCAGACATTCCTTAAATATTAATTTATGAAGTCAGACTGTATACATAGTACATAGCTGAATAAAGTTCAGTTTATAATATGGTTTTCCGGCTCAGAAAAGACCTTAAAGCATAGGTCTCATTTATCGGTGCCGTAAAGAATCAGGCCCTGTGTTCACAAAGATTTTAGGATCATAATCGGGATCAGATTTAAAAACTTAAATATTCCCCATTGTTTACCCTCAAAATAGGTTGGTTTCTTAGCAAATCAGCAATTTATTAACATTTTGAATATATCTATAAACATATCAAGCAAAATACGATCGATTTTAGTTTGATAAAACAATGAAAATATAATCATAATCATTTGATCCTGATCCTGATATTTTCACGGGGCCTGAACCGCCTTTGGAACGTGGACACAGCTCTGCGTACCTCCGAAAAATGGTGAGGGCTTCTCGCAGATACTGGTAACCAAATGCGTCAGTCAAATAAAAAGCAGAAAGAATAAAAGTTTCATTTTGAGCAAATGGTTCTTTCATGCATTTATTTACAACATTAAATCTCATATCTTGCTTTAAACTTTCAATGCTTTACCTGAATGGTGAATATTAATACATTTCTAGAACTATAGATAGATTTTTCTCTAGTATAATTTTCATGATTCTTTAAATATTTATTTTACTCATTTGTAGCCGTCCAACCTTGAAATAAATTTATGTGATCTAAATAGAGAGTGTCGGATATTTTCTGACCAAATATAATCTATTCAACATTTAACGTCACACTCTACACAACGTCACACCCTACACAATGTTACATGACGTGTCTACAGATGCGTTTATCCAATATTTTTATGAAAAATAATTAATTTATATAGAAAAAAAAATATTTATATAAATAGCAAGTACAGAAGTATTCATATGATGAAGGGAGATCGTGACCTTGGGAGTTGCTGTACATTGAGTCTTTATAACTTATCTTTAGCCACACTCACGCACACATACAACACAAGTTGCATTTAGGGAGTAAAAAGGGAAAATCATGGATGCCACAAAATGTCTGGTAGAAACATTAGTAAAACATAAATGTACATGTAGCTGTTTTGAATCAGTTGATAATACCAACTTTTAGTTCATCAAGGGGAAATAACTGTGGGTATAAATCATAAGTTTTTTTCCGCATAACTAAAGAGTCGGATAAATAATGTTTTCTTCTGGCATAATGATTGTGCAAATATCAATACAATCTCTTCGTTGTGAGAAAAAAAACGTGTTTTTTTGCAAATTGTGTCTTAACGCTGTTAGACACTACAGCTACTGACTGTTAGCAGTTACTCTCTTGTACATAGACATACGTTACTAATAAATTTATATTTATTTTAGTGGGGCATGCTGTTACGGGGTGAATCGACAATGGTGCGAATCTTTAAATTACCTTTAAACCCGACAGGAGTATATATTCTACTTGAAAATTACATTATGTATACATTAGCTACACCACTCTTCTTGTTTGAAAACAAAAGATAGTACCAACTGTCATTTTGAGCGTACCCATTGACGAAGTCGGAATTCATACCGGATAGAAGTTGGTCAGGATTTAATCAATCCAAATGTGATCTTCTAAAGGAGATACGAAAAGCGTGGATGACAACAGCCCAAACAATAGGTATTTTTAGGAGTTTAAATGTCTTTTTAAAGCTTATACTTTTATATTAGTGCAATAAACTTGATCATTTGAATAAGTTACAATTTCTATCAACTAGCCTAAGCCTTTAATTTACAAATTAGAATCTAGAAATATGTTCCTACATGCAATGTGTAGGGAAAGAAAAATTCATAGAAATTGTTGTTTTGATAACTGTGTATGCATAAAACTAAAAGAGAAAAACACAATTCAAAATATCTAATGTTTAACCTCTTTTCCGTATGAATTTCATTTGTAGAACACAAAGAGACTTGTGTCTAGTTTGTTTTAAATAATCTGATCATTTGACATCTTGAGTAGAATCAGAACAACACAAATATTTTGTTTTTGGTCTGAATTAGAATCTACAATGTACATGTATACTGCTATAATCCAGTATATGAAATAATGTACATTATATCACTTGATATTAATGCATTTTTACAGAATAGAATTTAACCCAACCACTTGACAACTCTGTAAAAAAAATATTTTGTTGTTGTTTTCGTGCTATGTTTATCCTCCTAATGGAATGTTAAATAAAACTTTGAAACTTCATCTAAGACACTGTTGAACTATTGGTATTTTCTCTAGAGTTTTCCTTACAAATTGTGACTTACATATAAGATAAACTGGTACAAGTTTACTTTTATCTTTGAGTCACCAGTCATACTTGTGTGCTTGTAGTATATGCACCCTGCTTAGTACTTTTAGAATAAAAGTACTTCACCATGCATATTGTCTTGCATAGAATTACAGTACTTTACCATGCCTATTTTCTTGCTTAGAATAAAAGTACTTCACCATGCCTAAGAAAGGAAAGAAAGGTGGAAAGAAGGGAAAGAAGAAAGGAGGTAAAAAGAAAGCAAAGGGACCGGCCAATGCAGAGGATATTATAAAGAGACTTTTGAAATGTTATGAAAGAAATTGTGCTAACACAGACTCAAGAATGTGTCCCAGAATTGCAGCAGGTCTGCGAGGATGTATGGAAAATAATGCAATTTTAGCGCAGGTAATTACATACATACTGTATATAGTTGCCCTTAACACATCTTGTAAACTCTAATATAAAGCAGTAAGGCATGTGTTGGTATTTTGCATCTCTACTGCTAAAATTCTGCCTTTTGAACTTAACAATGTCAGTATTAAGAAGGAAAAGAAAATGTGAAAGAAATCAGTAACTCCCAGTATTTTTATTTTGTTCTTGATTGTTTTTAAAATCCATTGAGTAAACACAGGCCTGTTAATTACACTAAATATTGGTAGGGACCTAGTTGAATCTGAAATGTACAATGATTCTAAAAGATTTCAAAAGATATAATACAAAGCCATATAATTAAGTATCCTTATGATATTTTGATAATTTCAGTTTATTTTGGAGTCAGTTGAGATTGAGAAAGAGGGCGCATTACCTGTGCTTATTGAACCATTTCTGGCAGCTTTACGACAAGAAAGATACACATTCATTCGAGATCTGTATGTATGGAAATATCCCATGTCTTATGAAAATACAGCAACTCTGGTAAGCATTTGTGAATTTAAACTATAAAATACTATAACCCCTTTACCTGCTGGAACCAAAAGTGATTGAGCCTTTGCCACTAGTATACAGCCAGGTTAGTTTTTACTTGGCTGCTATCAGATCAGGCTCTATTATTACTGTTGGTAGCTCAATTTGTTTGTATTTTGATATTGAAATCCCTTGAATTTTCCAATAGATTGTTCCTTAACTAAAAGCATTACACACATTTAGTATGTGAATGGTTAATTTAGTTACACTTTCTTTGATGTGTTTGTCAAGATGAACCTTTATATGCTTATTTTCCCTTGTATAAAAAGTGTCAGTATATATGTATATATCACAAATTGTTCAAATTGATAGTACTTAAGTTTGAACATGTACTTGGCTTACTGAAAAATTGAAACTAAGTTCTAATTTTGTTATAGAATGAATACTTTATATATAGATATACAAGAAATAAATTATGATATATTTATATAATTCATTTTCTTTCAGGCATTGTTATTAGAGAAACCATTTTACCCAATAAAATATCTGGAGGTAATGGATTGTTTACTGATGCACACCGGGTTGAAAGATTGTCGAGAAAATCATTCCCCAGATAGCAGAGAATCTAACTAAAATAAGTCTGGACTATAATGAGTTTGGAGAGATGATGGATGTGAAAGTTTTTGTAAAATGGTTTTTAGTTAATAATACCACCATGTTGTCAGTTAGCTTGTGTTACTGTGATCTTGGAGTTAAAAGTGGTACAATTCTGGGCAAGATGATATCTACAAACAGCTGTCAGGTAGTTTTATTGTTGTTATTAGAAACCTAACTGAAATGAGTGAAGACTGTGATGTTCATTTTTTCTCCTTTATTGTTTAAACAAAGATCTGCTGTGGCTAGAAATACCAGATGTTGTTGTCACTAGAAATATTCCAAAACTATCCACCTAAAAATGTATTTAGTCTTGACAGCCTGCATCATACATCATACATGTCAAATCAAAGAATAATAATGAATTTTTAATATTAGCTCATAATTGCTATGTTACTCTTGAATATCAATTAATATATTTTTTGAGAAAAAAAATCTCTTTAATTTATTTGATACACAAGTTTTCATCAGTTTTTTGTGCATTGAAAATAAAGTAAACAATGATATTTTTGAAAAAAAGATAATTATCAGATATCTCACAAACAGCCCATATAATATGCACATTATTCTGATTCCCATCATTTATACATGGTTAGAAGTTTTCAAATATTGTCCTCAAATTTCTCTTTTTCCAAATATGTCGATCTGTCGCCCTTTATATTCATATTTTTTTCATCTTTTTAAAAAATTTTTAAGGATAATTTTTTGGGGACTAAAGATGGGGGAACCTTTAAAAAATTTAGTGTGGTAAGGGTTTTAAAAAAATAGCCGTAAATAAAATGGTTGCATATAAATTTTCTAGAGAGCTATTCATAGATGGAAATAACCTGGAGTGTGAAGGGGCCATGGAACTGATAAAACTATGTGTAGAACAGGCAGAGATGGAGGCCCTGTTGAGGGCGGAGGAGGCGAAGAAGAAACTAGAGGAAGAGGAGGCAACAAAAACAGCAGGTTGGTGTTTCATATCTATGTTTATATATCATGGGTTGATATGAAATATATCTCACTGGAAAGTGAGAATTTTCAGGTATCTTCAAGTATTTTGGTCTTATAAATATGAAAATAATAATAATAGTTATGAAAACAGGTATTCCATGTTTATGAAAACAAAACACTTAACTTTCTCTTTATTCTAATGCTATTCAATAAAGAAAATATAGATTTTA